AATTACAGAATTTCTCAATAATAATGATAATGAAAATACTACATTGCATAATCAGTAGACTATATATGAAGAAGTGATCAGGTGGATGTTCATAGCCATAAACACCCACATCAATGAAAATAAAGACTTAAATTCCCAACTCAAATATTTAATAAATATAACACTAAAACAAACCAAAACAAAGCTCAAGAAATAATGAAGTTAAAACCAGAAATTAATAAGCAATAGAAAAAACACAAAAATATCAAAATAATTAAAAATACTGGTTCTTTAAAAATATTTTTGAAAATAAGCAAACCTCTAGACATTTTGATGACAAAATAAGTGAAAAGGCAAAAATATTCAAGATAAATGATAAGGGAGAAATGACTATTGATTCAGAGGACATTTTTTTCTCAAAAACATCATAAGGTATTACTTTGCACAGCTCTATTCAAATAACTCTGAAAATCTAAATGAAATTGATAATTTCATAAACAAACCAATTTACCAAAACTGACCTACAATAGAGACAGAAAGCATAAACACACCAATTTCTTTAGAATAAATTGACAAAGTTGTCAAGGAACTATATCATTAAAAAAGTACCAGTCCCAAATAGTTTCACAGGGAAATTTCCTACCAAATTTTTAGAGACAATGCTACATAAATTGTTTCAGAGTGTAGAAAATGAAAGAAAGTTTCCAAATTCTTTTTATGAAGCAAGTATAATATTGATACCTAATCTAATACAGATAGCACTAGACATGAATGTAGAATAGAAATGATATGGCAAAAATCTTGAATAGAATCCTAGCAAACAGACTACAATACTTCACTATGAAAATAATTCATTATGACTAAATGGAGTTTATACCAGAAATGCAAGAATCAGAAATTTTATGTATATTATTCACAATATTAATAGGTTTAAGTATCAATACCATAAAATCATCTCTATAGATGCTGACAAAGTCTTTGACAAAGTTCAATACAAGTTTCTAAGAGAAACTCTTGAAGAAATAAGAATAGACAGATATTTCCTCACATAATTCTAACATCAACAACTTATATAATGGGGAAACCATGGACGAATCCTCACTAAAGTCAGAAATAAGGAAACAATGCCCATTATCTCTACTACTGTTTACCATTTGGAAGTTCCATCCAATGCAATTAAGCTAAAGAGTAAAATTAGACGCAAAAAAATAGGAAAAGAAGAAATATTGTTTTCTCAATTTGTATATAACATAGAAGTATTCCTGAGAAACTTTAGAGAATGAATGATATAATTAAATGAAACATTAAAGGAGTCAACAAATAGGTACGGTATACAATTAACATTAAAAAATTAATAATATTAATATACACAAATAATAACTACTTAGAAGATATAAAAAATGAGATAATTCCATTTGTAATAGCAACAAAAAAGATACAATATTTAGTAATAAACTTACAAAGACATATTCAAAACCTCTATGAAGAAAACTATAAAACACTCCTAAAAGGCACAGAATCAGTCTTGAGCAAATGAATAAACATCCATTGCTTGGGGTTAGGGCATTTCAATGTCAGTAAGATATACATTTGCCATAAAATAACACGTAAATTTAATGTGATCCCAATAAAAATCCAAATGTGTTTTTATGGGCATAAAGAAGTTGAGCAAGGGGGGATGGAGGAGGGTGAAGAGGATAATTAGGCACATGTGTGTGGTGATGGATTATAATTAGTATTTGGGTGGTGAACATGAGAACGTGATGTATTCCATGCAGAAATAGAAGTATATTGATGTATACCTGAAATTTATAGAATGTTATAAACCAATGTTACCACAATAAACAACAAAAAAAGAGGTTGATTCTAAAGTTAATGTAGAAAAATAAATATACTACACTAGTTAGGAAAAATGAAAGGTAGATATCCAAAGGGGGATATGCACCACCAGATATTAAATTTAATATAAAGCTGCTGTAATTAATGCACTGTAGTAGTGACCTATGAATAGATAAATCAGTTGAATACAAGATAAAGTTCAGGAATAGTCCCAACGACATATAAAATATTTTATATGGTTAAGGTGCACCTCAAATCACTGGGAAAATTATAATCTTTTAGTAAATGGTGTTGGAACAATTGGATAACCACTTGGAAAAAGATAAAATTAGATTCTTATCCCACATAAGGATAAACTTCAAATAGATCAGAGACCTAAATGTAAAAGTAAACATTAATATACAAGTACTATGAGAATACATGGTTGAATTCTTTTATAACATGGATATAAGGAATGGCTTTAGCCTTTCTCACTACGACTCAAAATCCAGAGATTACATAAAATCTAGAAAAAAATACTTTTTTATGGTAATAATCACCATAAGTAAAATCAAAATACAAATGGGAACCTGGGAACAAATATTGAAACAAATATTGTAGCAGATAAAGGGCTAATATCCAAAATTTATGAAGAACTTTCCAAATTACAGAGAGAAAAAGACTAAAATCTTACAGAAAAAATAGGAAAAGACAAGAACAGACAATTCACAAAAAGGGATATAAACATGGCCTTTCGGATATAAAAAGATGTTTAATTTCTCACATGATAAGAGAAGTGCAAATTACAACTACATTGAGATATCATTTCTCACCCATCAGATTGGCAAAAATCCAAAACTTTGACAAAATACTTACTTGGTGAAGATGTGGAGAATCAGGTACCCTCAACCATTGTGAGAATGCAAATACTTCAACCTCTTTTGAGGGGAATTTAACAATAGCAAACAAAATGACGTATTCATTTACCCATTGACCGAGTGTAGTAGTCTGTTTGGGCTACCATAGCAAAATACGACAGATCAGGTGGTTTAAACAACATAAATTTATTTTCTCATACTTCTAGAGGCTAGAACTCCAAGTTCAAGATGGCGGTAAGGTTGGTTTCTGGTGAAACTTCTTTCCTCTTCTTGTGGCTTGTGCCTTTTTGGTGTCCCAGAGAGCAAGCCCTGGCGTCTCTTCCTCTTTCTATAAGGACACAAGTTAGATTAGAGGCTCACCTTTATGACCTCATTTAATATTCATTTCTTTAATGACCCTGAGTCCAAACACAATCACAGTGGGGGTTAGGGCTTCAACATATGAATTTGTGCAGAAGGGAGACACAATTCAGTCCATAACACCCAGCGATCTCACTTCTAGGAATTTACCTTGAAGATTCCCTCCAACAATATAAAAATACATGAGAAGAGTTTATTCTTTGGAGCATTATTTGTGATTTAATAATACTTGGAATTACCTAAATTATTTAACTAGAGGAGATTGGTTGAATAAATTATGGTGCACATACACACACACACACACACGCACACACACAATAGAGGTGTACATGTAGTACACAAGGTAGTACTATGAAGACATACAAAAGAATGAGAAAAATTTTAATGAACTAATATAGAACGATTTATAGGAAATATTAAGTGAAAAAGCAAAAATCAAAAGAGCATATACAGTATATTACAATTGTGTAATAAAAAAGTAAAAGTAAGAAAGCATATATTTATATATATATTTATCTTTACAAAAAATAAGAATGATAAATCTGAAAACAATGATGTTGGTTATCTACAAAGTGTGTGTTGAGAGAGAGAAGGTATAGGATGGAAGGGATATGAGAGAGAGTGACACTTCTCAGACCATAACCTTTTGTATAGTTTTACTTTTGGAAGCATGTTAATATACTATATATTCAAAAAATATAATTAAATCAATAATAATGGGAAGGGAAAAAACATAAAACTGAAAACAAACAATAATTGAATCTAATTGTACTTCAAATGAATTCTATAACCACACTGAAGTAAAAAAAAAAAAAGTGGGAAAGAAGGAGAGAGAAGGAAGGAAGGAACAAATGAATGAATGAAGGAAGGAAGGAAGGAGGGAAGGAAGGAAGCAGTAAGAAGGTCTATGGAGTGGAGGTTTAGTATAAAAGTGCAAATAAATTCTGAACACTTTTAAGTATTTTTTAATCATAATGGTATAATTGAACTATCTGAAAATATTTTAGGTGTAATATAGGATTGGACAAATTAGTAAATATGATATGTTAATGCTGTAGGGAGCCACGTTTCTCACTGTGGAAGAAAGGATAGCCAAATACAAAATAGGAGAAGACAACAAAGGCAAGAAAGAGGATAGATTTGTAATTGGAGGTTTTAGTGTGAATTCATGATTTTTAAAATATAAATATGTGAGTGGTATGCATGATGAAAAATCTGCTGGTAGACTTGTGGGGATTCCCTTGTACATAACAAATTGTTTTTCTCTTTCTGCTTTTAAGATACTATCCTTGTCTTTAACTTTTGACAATTTAATTATAATGTGTCTCAGTGTGTGTCTCTGGATTCTCTTGTTTGAAACTCTGTGGGCTTCCTTGATCTGGATGTCTGTTTCTTTCCCCAGGGTAGGGAAGTTTTCAGCCATTATTTCTTTGATTAAGCTTTCTGCCCCTTTCTCTCTCTCTTCTCCTTCTGGGACTCCTATAACGCATATATTGATTCTATTGATGGTTTTCCATAAGTTCCTTAAGCTATCTTCACTATTTTTCATTCTTTTTTTCTTTTTTCTTCCTCTTATTGGATGAACTCCACTTCCCTGTCTTCGAGTTCACTGATCCTTTCTTCCACTTGATCTAGTCTACTGTTGGACTCCTCTATTGAATATTTAAATTCATTTCTTGTATTCTTTAGCTCTGTGATTTCTGTTTGGTACTTTCTCATATTTTCTATCTCTTTGTTGAAATTCTCATGTTCTTCATGCATTGTTCTCCTGACCTTGGTAAGCATCTTTATGATCCTTATTTTGAACTCTTTATTGGGTAAATCACTTATCTTCATTTCATTAAGGTCTGTTTCTGGAATTTTATCTGTTTTTTGGCTTAGAACATATTATTTTTTGTTTCTTCATTCTCCTTGAATCTCTGCATTGGTGTCTGTGCATTAGACAAAACAATAATCTCTCCCATTCTTGACAGAGTAGTCTCATGTAGGACATGAACCTTATTGACCAGCCCAGCCTGAGCTCTTGGTTGTCTCTCAAACCTTTTTGATTGTTCAGGCTGCCTCCTTTGTTCTTAGTGACTCCTAGTAGTTCAGGGTGAGCCAAGAACAGTCAGTGTCCCAAAGGGGATAATTGCAGTTAGCACCTAGATGCAGGTTGATTGGAAGTTCAACCCTCAGGCAGTAGCTGGGATAGTATGTAGTTAGGGACCTTACAGGGAGAAACTGGGAGATGGGCTTTTTTTGCCTGCCTCCTCTGCATTGGGCCCAGCTATATTGCTTCTTTGTTCGCTACAGTACTGTGTCACTCATGAATGCAAGCCCCTTGGCTATCAGAGCCAAGAGATCCAGGGGTCCATCCTTTGTCTGGCAGCCTCAAAATCTGGGGAGTCAGATGTGTGTACAAGCTCCTTCCAGGGAAATAGTGGTAATTTGGAGCATGCTAGAGGTAGAGGGAAGGAAAGCTGTCCACATGCTTCCCTTGCCCCCAGAATGAATGTCTGCCCCCAGATGCATACTAAATTATAAGCCTGACCCTCAGGTAGCAGCTTTTAAAGTATATAAATAGGTGTCTTTCAGGGAAAGACTCAGATGGGCATTTCTGTTTGTTTCCTCTGTGCTGAGCCCTGGGGGGATAGTTTCTTTGTTTGTTTCTGTTAGTTCTAAGATTTGTTTCTTTGTTTACTATCCTGTGATATTAAGAACGCAAGCTCTGTTGGTCATCAGAGCAAGGCAATCTAGGGGTCCATCACTTGAGAGCAGCCTCAAAATCTGTGGTGCTAGATGTGTGTACAAAATCCTTCCAGGGAGATATTGGTGATTTGAGGGTGGCTCAAGTGAGAAGGCAGAGGTAGTGTCTGCTGGCTTCCCCAGTCTATGGGGAGGATTGCAGTTAGCATCTAAATTAGATGCATGTTAAATTCGAAGGCTGGCTCTCAGGCAGCAGCTTTTAAAGTGCACATATAAGCATGTTTCAGGGAAAGACTTGGAGATGGGCATTTTTTGCCTGATCCCTCTGTGCTGAAACCTGGTGAGATAGCCACAGGTAGTCCTTACAAACCCCTTAAGAGCTGTTTGTTTCCTATAGTCTTGTGGATCTTGAGGACACAAGCCTGACTGGCTTTCAGAGCTAGATGTTTTGGGGACCTGTCCCTCAGCTGGGAATATTAAAGGTTGGGGTGCTAGATGTGGGGCCCAAACTTTTGCTCCTCAGGGAGCAACTTGGAGGTGAGAGTTTCTTCCCAATAGTATGGCACTATGGTGGAGGTGGGATTTATGATAACAGTGTGTGTCAGCCTTTCCTTCTCATTTTGATGTGGTTGATGTGAGCAATATCTTGTTGGCCTGATGTGTAGGAACTGCTCAGCTAGTTTCTGGATTTCTTTCAGAGAGAATTGCTACATGAGTAGCTGTGGATTTGTTCCACAGGTGAGTTCAGGAGGCTCCTATGTTGCCATCTTGTACCAGAACCAGCTAAAAGCTTTTACTCTAAGATCAGGAACAAGACAAGGATCTCCACACTTGCCATTTTTATTCAACATAGCACTGGAAGTCATAGCCAAAGCAATTAGTTAATAAAAAGAAATAAAAGTCATCTAAACCAGAAAGGAAGAAGTAAAATTGTATCTATTTGCTGATGACATGACATTATATATAGAAAACCCTAAAGATTCCACCAAAAATCTATTAGAACTAATCAATCAATGAATTTAGTAAAGTTGCAAAATGCAAAATAAATATACAAAAATCTCTTGCATTTCTATACACTAATAATGAGTGATCAGAAAGAGAAATTAAGAAACCAATTCCATTTAAAATTTCATTAAAAAGAATAAAGTACTTAAAAATAAATTTAACCAAGGCAGTGAAATATCTGTACAATGAAAACTATAAGACACTGATGAAAGAAATTGAAGAAGACACAAATAAAAGGAAAGATATTCCTTGCTCATGGATTGGAAGAATTAATATTGTTAAAATGTCCACTCTACTCAAATCTACAGATTAAATGTTATCCCTATCAAAATTCCAATGGCATTTTTAACAGCAATAGAAAAAACTATCCTAAAATTTGTATGCAATCATAAAAGAACCTGAATAGACAAAGCAATCTTGAGAAAAATGAACAAAGCTGGAAGCATCACACTTCCTGATTTCAAACTTTATTACAAAGCTATAGTAACCAAAATAGTATGGTATTGGCATACAACAGACACACAGATCAGTGGAACAGAATAGTAAGCCCATAAATAAACCTATGCATATATGTTCAATTAATTTATGACAAAGGAGCCAAGAATATACAATGTGGAAGGGATAGTTTTTTTTCAACAAATAGTATTGGGAAAACTAAATAGCCTCCTGTAAAAGAACAAAACTGGATCACTATCTTACACTATTCCCCAAAATTAACTTCTTAGGGATTAAAAACAAACTTAAGACCCGAAACTATAAAACTTCTAGAAGATAACATAGATTGCAAGCTCCTTTACATCGGTTGTGGCAATGATCTTTTGGATTCGATTCCATAAACCCAAGCAACAAAATAAAAATAAACAACTTGGACTACATCAAACTAAAAAGCTTCTGCACAGCAAAGGAAACCATCAGGAACATGAAAAGGCAATCTACAGAATGGAAGAAAATATTTGCAAATCATATATATGATAAGGGACTAATATCCAAAATATATAAAGAACTCACACAACTTGATAGCAATAAACCAAACAATCCAATTAAAAAATGGACAGAGAACTGATTAGATATTTTTTCAAAGAAGACATACAAATGAACAACACATATATGAAAAGATATTCAACACGACATGTCATCAGGAAATACAAATCAAAATAACAATGAGATATCACCTCACACAAGTTAGAATGGCTATCATCAAAAAGAGAAGAGGTAAGTGTTGGTGAAGATGTGGAGAAAAGGGAACCCGTGTATATTATTGGTGAGAATGTAAATTGGTACAGCCAATATGGAAAACAGTATTGACATTACTCAAAAAATTAAAAATAGAACTACAATATGATCCTGCTAGTCCACTTCTAGATATATATCCAAAGAAATGAAATCAAAATCTCTAAGAAATACCTGCACTCCCATGTTCATTGCTGCACTAGCCACAATAGCCATATATGGAAACAACCTAAGTGTCTACCGACGAATGAATAGTAAAAAAAAATATGGTATACACACACACACACAATGGAATATTATTCAGCAATGAGAAAGAAGGAAATTCTGCCATTTGTGATAACATGGTTGGACTTTGAGGGCATTATGCTGAGTGAAACCAGACAGAGAATGACAAATACTGCATGGAATCACTTATCTATGGAATCTTAAAAAAGAAAGTGAAATTCATAGAAAAAGAGTAGAAAATTGCTTGCCAGGGTTTGGGGGTGGAGGAAATAGGGAGAAGTAGGTAAAAAGGTACAAACTTTCAGCTGTAACATGAATAAGGTCAGAGGATGTAGTGTATGATATGTTGACTATAGACTATAGTTGCTAACATTGTATTGTATAATTGAAATTTGCTAAGAGATTAGAACTTAAATGTTTATATATCTATATCTATATTTATTTATATCTATATCCATATCTATCTATCTACCAACTCCAGTCACAATCTCAGGCTGTTTATCATGTAGTGCAAACAATACTCAATGTTACATATTTTAACTGGTTGTTATATGATCATGTAGACAGATCCTTTATTGATGTGGTGAATTCATTGTTTCTATGATGCAGATCAATATGTAGGGAGATCAAAAGTAAGAAATGCAGGAATGTTCTGGAGGACTTTAAGGAACTTATCATGGTTAAGTTTGAAGAGATAGCATGATGGTTATATTTAATACTATCCCACCCCACCATTTCAATCCTACTGTTTTGACTATACATATTTTTGAACTGTCTCAATCTTTCTTTGTATTTTTTTGTATCGTTTTTCCTCATTCTCTCTTGCTTTCTCCATTCACCTATTATTTCTCTTCCATTCACCCATTCTCTCTCCCTTCTTTAAACTCTTCCCCTTTCCTTCTGTCTATTAAATTGCTTACAATTTTTCACATGGATTAACCAAGAAGTAAAAATAATATTTGGATAAACATTACTGGTACAAATAATCTCCATGGACTAAAACTGACAATGTCTTAAATTGGACATGGTAAAATTTGTTACTGAGTAAAAATTAAAGGAAGGATAAGATCTTGACAACATTTAGATCTGAAAAAAAGATACCACTTTACCTATCTGATTATCAAGATTATAAATTAAAATAATATAAATGTTTTATAATTTATATATAGGGATAAATAATATGTAGGTATAAAATAATATACTTGTATATTACACCTATATAATGTAGGTGAGGCTGGGAGAAGGAGAAACTCTCATGACCATCTGGTGAAAATGTAAATTGGTACAGCAATTTAAAATAGTATTATGACAATACATATAGTAAATTGGAAAACAAATTCAAAGATACAGATATTCCAATCCTAGACACTCTTCCAAGGAAATACATGTAACAGTGTTCATTGCTGTGTCATATTAATAGGAAAAAGTTGGAAACAACCTAAGATGCCCAATAATGAAGGAATGACTAAAAGAAATACAGTATAGTTATACAAGTAAACATTACAAAGAATTTCAGTAAATGAATTTGATATAATTGATTATCAATAGATCTCAAAAATAGAATATTAAATGAAAAAATAACTTTTATAGTGAATTGTACAATCTGTTACCATATACTAAATGTTTTAGTATATATGAATATTAATATTGCACACGGACATAATAGATGAAAGAAAGGCATAGAAAGTGACATGCAGGAATACACAGCAAAAGTATGTTAGGCTGGAAATTGGTAATGGGGATAACAGACTTAGGGATAAAAGAGAAGGTGATGCATCTAGACTGAGAAGTTTCGCTAAATTACTGTAATTCTATGCATTTGAACACATGGTGTGGTAAAAAGGAGAAAAAATGCTTTTAAAAGCTTCTTTTCCTTTCTATCAACAATATATGTAGGAATCATGGCCTTGGAAACCAGAGTATCAAGTGAACTATCAAATAGAAACACTATTTAAAATTAAGAGAGATGGTGTCAAGATGGCAGTATAGGCAGACTCCGAATTCACCTCCTCCTACAGACACAATGAATTTACAATTACTCTTGGAACAATTACCCTTAAGAGAGAAATGAAAACTGGATAAAAAGACCTTGACAACAAGAGACAGTGCTGACTGAGATGGTAGAAGCAGAAATTCATTTCTGGAGAGAAAAAAATCCACCTCGGAGCCGTGATGCTTCACAGTCGGCTGGGAGCAACCTTAAGGTACGAAGCCTTCCCTGGGGGAGTGGGGGATGTGAATGGGGGAGTGTTACACAACAAGCAGCTTTTTGACCCAGCACAATTGAGACAAGTGTCATAATATCTGGCTTTACTGGTTATTAACTACAATGGGGAATACCCCCAGAAAAGCTATCAGACAAAAGGGGAAAAATAGCCTGCTCTTAAAGGGCCCACACACAAATTCACCCATTTCAGAAAGCAACATAAAATCACCAGAAATGATGGTGCACAATCCTTTGGTGAAAAGAGAATCACCTGATAGACTCTTGGTGCATCTCAGTGAGAGGTTGAGACCTCTCCAGGGACTAAGACATTGGCAACAGGTATTATTGTGACCTAGTACAGGCATGCTGACACAGACACTGGCAAACACCATTGGAGTTCTTCCCCTGGCTAGTTACCCAGGGGGCTGCCACACCCATTACAGCACTGATTTAATCCAGCTCAGCCAGGACAGGCAGCCCACGTAGGGACTTACTCCACCCAATAGCAAGCCTTCAGACACCTTGTGGGCCCACCTAGGTGGGGTTCCTGGAACCTCTGCAACTGGGTGAGTGGGTCCTCCTTGGTGGGGCAGGGTGTGCATGAGGGGAAGGCCTGCATTGGTGGAGAGTGTAGGGCCTCTGCAATGGGGTAACTGGATCCATTTCAGTGGGTTGGGGCAATGCATGGGGCAGTTCTGTGTTGATGGAGTGTGTGGCCCTGCAGGCAGTGGGACCTGAGAGCTGTAGCAGACTTATGCTTCACAAACAGCCACATAGTAGATCAGCCCCACCCTCCAAAGCCTGAAACAATTGGGTGCTCCCATGCCTGGGGCTGGCCTCACTCAACGGCAACCCTGAGAGAGCTGACAATAGTGTTGTAGGCTGAAGGCCTACAGTAACTTTAAGCCCCTGAGACTAGCAACCAGCCATGCTGGGGGCCTACTCACTTAACAGAAAAACTGCAAGAGGAATGTGCTATTAGACCTTGCAGCCAACTGTGCTGGGGCTCCGCGTGCCCGATAAAGTGACTGAAAGGAACATACCAGCCAAACATAGCTGAGCATTACAACCAGCCAGCCAAGGGGATGATCTTGCCTCCCCAGGCATCTGCAGCAAGAGAAACCCAGCCATAGCAGAAGGACACACATAGCCCACACAGGGGACACTCCTAGAACATTTGGAACTGGTGACAAGAGGGAAGCACACTGTTGGTCCTCATAAGGCATCACTAACATGAGGCCACCTCTCCAAGATCAGGAGTTGTAGCTGACCTACCTAATACATAGATATAAGCACAGAGAAAGAGGCAAAATAAGGAGACAAAATAATGCATTCCAAGTAAGGGAACAGAACAAAACTCTAGAAAAAGAACTAAACGAAGCAGAAATAAACAATCTACCTGACAAAGAGTTCAAACAAAAAGTCATAATGATGCTCACTGATCTTGGGAGAAGACTGGATGAACTCAGTGAGAACTTCAACAAAGAATTGGAAAATATAAAAAAGAACCAATCAAAATGAAGAATACAATACTGGAAATGAAAAATTCACTACAGGAACTCAATAGCAGAGTAGATGATACAGAATGGATCAGCGAGCTGGACAAAAGACTATGGGAAATCACCCAAGCTGAACAGATAAAAGAAAAAAGAATTAAAATAATGAGAACACAGGCTGGCCCAATGGCACAGCAGTTAAGTGCGTGCACTCTGCTTCAGTGGCCTGGGGTTCACAGGTTCGGATCTGACGCACTGCGTGTCAAGCCATACTGTGGCAGCATCCCATATAAAGTAGAGGAAGATGGGCACGGATGTTAGCCCAGGGCCAATCTTTCTCAGCAGAAAGAGGAGGATTAGCATTGGATGTTAGCTCAGGGCTGGTCTTCTTCACCCCCCCCAAAATAAAATAAAAAGAATGAGAACAGTCTAAGGGACCTCTGGGACAACATCAAGTGCACCAACATTCATGTTATAGGTGTCCCAGAAGGAGAAGAAAGAGACAAATATATTCTTCAAATATATTTGAAGAAATATTAGCTGAAAACTTTCCTAACATAAGGAAGGAAACAGACATCCAGGTACAAGAAGCACAGAGAGCACCAAACAAGATAAACACAAAGAGGCCCACACCAAGACACATTATAAATAAAATGTCAAGAATTAAGGATAAAGAGAGACTCCTAAAAGCTACAAGAGACAGGCAACAAGTTACATACAATGGAAACCCCATATGGCTATGAGATGACTTCTCAGCAGAAACCTTACAGGCTAGAAGGGAGAGGAATGATATATTTAAAGTGCTGAAAGGATACACCTACAGCCAAAAATACTCTACCCAGTGATGTTATCATTCAAGAATGGATGGAGAGATAAAGAGTTTCCCAGAGAAGCAAAAACTAAAGGAGTTTATCATCAAGAAACCAGCTTTACAAGGAATGCTAAAGGGACTTATTTAAGTGGAAAAGAAAAGACCACAAATAAGAATAAGAAATTCATCAAAAAAAGCAATAAAATCATTGGTAAAGGCAAACATACACAAAGGTAGCAGATAACCACTTCTGAAGATAATATGATGGTCAAAAGACAAAAGTGTTAAAATTGTTTATTTCCATGATAACAGGGCAACAGATGCAAACACACAACAAAGGAGGTTACATACGCTATCAAAAACATAAAATGTGTGAGGAGGGGAGAAAAAGAGTAGAGCTTTTAGCAAGAGGTCAAACTACAGAGACAATCAACTTAATATAGATTGCTATATACATAGGTTATTATATATGAACCTCATGGTAATCACAAACTAGAAACTTATAATGAAACATTAACAAAAATTTAAAGAAAGGAACCCAAACATACTACTAAATATAGCCATCAACCCACAAGGGAAGAGAGCAAGAGAAGAAGAAAGAAACAGAGAAGAACTACTAAGACACCCAGAAAAAAAGTAACAAAATGGCAATAAGTACATACTTATCAATACTTACTTTAAATGTCAATGGACTAAATGCTCCAATCAAAAGGCATAGAGTGGGGGCCGGCCCGATGGCACAGCAGTTAAGTTCATGCACTCTGCTTAGTGGCCTGGGGTTCACAGGTTCAGATCCTGGGCACAGACTGATGCATGACTTGTCAAGCCATGCTGTGGCGGTATCCAATATAAAGTAGAGGAAGATGGGCATAGATGTCAGTCCAGGGCCAATCTTCCTCAGCACAAAGAGGAGGATTGGCAATGGATGTTAGCTCAGGGCTAATCTTCCTCAGCAAAAAAAAAAAAAGGCGTAAGGTGGCTGATTAGATAAATAAACAAGACCCACACATATGCTGCATAGAAGAGACACACTTCAGACTTAAAGACACTCACAAACTGAAAGTGAAGGGATGGAAAAAGATACTCCGTGCAAGTGACAATGAAAAGAAAGCCAGGGTAGCAATACTTATATCAGACAAAATAGATTTTAAAACAAAAACTGTAACGAGAGAGAAATAAAGGCACTGCATAATGATAAATGGAACAATACAACAAGAGGGTATAACACTTGTAAATAACTATGCACCCAACATAAGAATACCTAAATATACAAAGTAATTATTAACATATATAAAAGGAAAAATAGACAGCAACACAATAATAGTAAGAGACTTT